AGCATGGCCTGACAAGTGGTGCACCTGTGCGTGCCTGGGATCTGAACCTGGGCTGCCAGCAGCAGAGCACACACACTTAACCACTATGCCACAGAGCCGGCCCCCCTTTACCCATTTTTTAATCAGTTTTTTTTTGTGTTTTTGCTGTTAAGTTGTATGAGGTCTTTATATATTTTGTATATTAACCCTTTTAATTCGTATGGAACCACAAAAGACCCCAAGTATCCAAAGCAATCTTGAGAAAGAGGAATAAAGCTGGAGGGATCATACTCCTTGATTTCAAACTATGTTACAAAGCTATAGCAATTAAAACAGTATGGTACTGGCAAAAAAATAGACACATAGACCAATGAAACAGAATTGTGAGCCCAGGAATAAACTCACACATATAAGATCAACTAATATTTGACAAGAGAGCCAAGAATATTCAATAGGATAGGATAATGTCTTCAATAAATGGTGTTGAGAAAACTGGAATTCACACACAAATGAACAAAATTGGAATCCTATCTTACACCGTTCACAACAATTAATTCAAAATGGATTAGACTTAAATGTAAGACCTGAAACTATAAAACTCTGGAAGACAACATAGGGAAAAAGCTCCTTGATATTGGTCTTAGCAATGACTTTTTGGATATGACACCAAAAGCACAAGCGACCGAGGCAAAAATAATCCAGTGGGACTCCATCAAACTAAAAAGTTTCTGCACTGCAAATGAAAGAATCACAAAATTTAAAAGGCAACCTACAGAATGTTACCTGATACTTTCATAAGAAGAAATGCTGAGAGACAAAAACAGAGTCTCATTAAAAAAATAAAAAGGCATACATATATATTGCCATCCACATGTGCAATGCAATAGCTGTGTCACAAGATGTGAACATGTCTTGCCCTACGGGAAGATCCTGATTGCTTTGAGTATATTTTTTCTTTGCTTTTTCCCTTCCTGACAAGAAGAGAACCATGGAGGCCATGGCTGGTAAAGTTTTTGTTTTGTCTTATCAGGTTATGTCCTTAAGAGATATATTTGGGGAACAGTATTAACTTACTTAAAGTTTTTTTTACTGGACTCTGTATAGTTTGTGTGAGCAATATTTAGCTAGAAAAGAAAGATAGGATCCTTTTTCCCTGATCTGTATTCTCTCAGGCTATGAGGTATGTGGATCCATAAACCGGGTACTCAGCTTGGTTTTCCTAGTGTTTCAGAGGGAAAAGTAAATGCCAGGAAGGTGTGTGACCTCATTTTTTGAGATTCTTTTCTGGATCTTCCCTGAATGCTCAAATGTCCAAATATGACTGAAGTTTAGAATCTGCAAACAGGATCATCATGGGCAGCTGTCCCTAAATAAAAGAGGTAAAAATGACATAATTGTGACCATTACTGATTCTGATTTCCAGGGACATATTCCTCAATGCCACAGCACAGGTGGAGCTCCCTGGGCCCTGACTGGTAACCCACCAAAGCAGAACAAGGGGAATAGTTTGGATAAGTAAAGCCTTCTTTTGACTTAGCTGAGTTAGAATTCCGGGAGTGGGCATCCATGGGCTTAGAAAGAATGGAAGGGACCTTTGATATAGTAAATAAGTCATTCTTTGAAACACTCAACCAATAAAGAGAGAATCTTGAAAAAGAGAATCCCGGTTATTGAGGTGACAGAGTGATATTTCTTAAGATAGTTATAAGTCTCAACATTTCTGTACTTCCAACAGATAAGAGACTAAAGGAAAAAAGGAAAATATTTGTTAATTCAGTATCAGAGGACACGCTTAATGCCTTGCTGGAAGACTTACCGAGTAACAATGTGTTGAACCAGGAAGAGAAGGAGATAGTGAAAAAGGGAAATGTTACAACTATAGACAAGGCCCGTGACTTGATCGACTCTGTGATTCACAAAGGGTCTCATGCCAGCCAAATATTTATTGACTATATCTGCAAGAGACTCCACTCTTGCAAAGTTGGGATTTTCTTCAGGTAAGATTGTTCAATTCTGTTTAAGGGATGTCTCAACTTGCCCTTGTATCTTGGCACCCAATATCTGCTTTCTTATTCACTTGCCAGATAATAGATGACTCATCAGCTCTTAACCTCGTACCTACTCACCCTTAGACTCCCATTCACGTGCCACAGATCATGCTGACCCACTCTCTCTATTTGCTTTTCCTTTGTCCCTGCAAAATTCTCCCAGTTTTCTGCATCATGTTTAGACCATATTTTACCCTTTGTTTGAAGTATCTTTCTATTGGAGGATAGTAATTCAGCCCTACAGAAACAATTTGGAAGCCTTTATTCTAATCTCCCCAAGTAAAAAAAGACAAAAACCTTTACTTTGTCATTGACAGTAGGCTTTTGTGGTTCATGTAGGCTCTTGAAGAGAAATTAGAAGCACTTTCCTTCTCCCCTCCTTTCTACTTATTTGATTTAGACACATTTTTAAGCCATTTATCTGGCAACATGTCCCCCCGCCCCCTAAAATATATAACTCAAGTTTTTCAATAATGATAGAACTAACATGCCATCTCTTCTGCATGAGCAAAATATCATTCTTCCTCCCCTTTTTATTAACAACTAGAAATATTAGAAACATTTCTCATTGTCTTCAGTGTGCCAAATCCAAATGCTTTTGCTTTATGAAAGAAAGTAAATACTAATGACAATCATCAGAGTAATAGAGTCCAAAATAGAGTACTCAATGTCTTTCCATAACTTGAAACACTTTGCCCTCCCATTTTCCTGGGGCCAAAGCCCACAATTCTTGACTTGGCACACCTTCTACCTCTCCAGTCTCACCTTCTATCCCACTTTGCACAACTCTCCATGCTCCATCTAATAGAACAAACTCACTCTCATTTCAAGGGCCTTGTGCTAAGTTGATAGAGATGTGCTGCAACTTACCTTGCCAGTGGGAGACTCAGTTTGTGAAAAAATTTAGGTTAAAATTTACCTGGATTTCTTGAACTCACCAGTTCATTAATTCATTTTTCTCAACAAAAGCTTTGAGTAACTACTGCCAATGACTCTTTTTCACCTTCGGCAAATGTAACTTTAAAATAAGACTCACATGCAATTGAGACTGTAGTGGGGAAGGGGTGGCAATTATAAGTAAAAAAATAATTAAAATGTTTACAGATATTTATAAAAGCTATAAAGAAAAACAAAAGATGATAATGAGATAGCTTAGGATAGAAAATGACTGGAAGGCTACCTGGATTAGGTGATCTTCCTGGATTAGGTGATCAGTTAAAGTCATGCTTATGATATGAATGACAAAAGCGAGTCTAGGTCTAGGGAAAGAAAACCACAGAGAGGACAGTAAATGCAAAGGTCTCAAGGTAAAAATAGGCATGGAGTGTTTAAGGAACATATAGAAAAAATGTATATACTACTGAGCAAGAATGGAAAGAAGTTCAAGTTTAGGCAGGGACTTGATCATATACATCCTCAAATGGCTTGTTAAAGCCACATGGATATTATTTTAAGTGTGATGAGGAGCCATTGGAGTATTTCATTCAGTGCCAATACAGTTACCCAGAAGGCAAAATTAATTGTGAGGACAGAGAAATCTCTGACATCCCAAGTGTCTCCTCAGAGGAGGCACTGTAAAATTGTCTGGTTGACGTCTATGATTATGATCTAAGTTTTATTCTTGAGGATATTTACAGTGGTATTTTGGAAGGATCTTTGCTCTCAAAGGCATTGAACTAAGGGCAGAAAGTACAATGGATGAGCTTCAGAAATGACAAAAGAGAAAATCATATGTCCCTTTTAAAAATGCCATTCTGGTCACTATTAGGGCAACGGAATGTGGCAGGATAAGAGCAGACATAAAGATATAAGTTTTCAGGCTACTTCAGTGATCCATACGGAAGATTATGGGTGCTGGGAATGGGAGGGCAGCAGTGGGGATGTAAGAATTGATACATAGAATAAATTTTGGTGGTAGGGTTAACAGGTTATGCTGATAGAATGGATCAGGGGGACGGAATGGATAGAAGGTGAGGAAAATAGTGAAATCAAGGAAGACCTCTAGGTTTTCAGCTTGGTCAAATGAATGGATCATGGTGTCATTTATTAAGAAGCAGAAACATGAGAAAAAATCAATTAGGATGGTTGAGGGTATCAAGGTTTGGATGCATTAATTTCAAGATACATCCAAGAGTAGATGTTAAGAAGAAGGTTGATTACATAAGTCTGGACCTCAGAAGAACTGGAGATATAAAGTTGGGAGCTATCAATCAGCTTAACTCCATGGTACCGGATGAGATCACAGTGAGATAGAAAGTAAAAAGGAGGCCTAAACACCAGGATGATTTCAGTAATCCCAGGAATCAAAAACAGCACTAAACTCTTGACTAAAATAACTCACCTCAGTCTGCAGGAGCAATGGCAGCCAGGGATCATTGCTACTTTTTGATTCAATGTGAACCACGTATGCGTATATAATACCTAATTCTGATTCCACTGTTTTCTGAATCCACGTTATATTTGTAGTAGCTAGACAATAATAATGATAACATTTATATAAAGCTTAATATATGCAAGCACTATTCTAAGCATTTCTTGCATATTAACTCACTGAATCCTCACAAAAATCTAATGAGGAAGGTGCTATTTTTTTTCCTCACTTTCAGTCAAGGAAACCAAAGAACAGAAACATTAAGTAATCTAAGTTCATATGGCTATGAGGTGGTAGAAGGAAGAGTCAAGTCTCTTTCCAAAATCGATCTTATGACTATTAAGCTGTAGTGACTCTTGAACAAACAAGTCTTTCTATCCAATGATGCTAAGCTGATAAACTGGAGATCTATGGGAATGCTGTTATTTGTGACTGTATCAAGCACACTGTTAATTTTGATTATTTTCTTACTCCACTCTAGGTTTATAGTGACTAAAGCCAAAAGTCCCCTTTTTCCCAGTCCTTTTTGCTTCTTGGGGAGATCATTTGGGGCCCTGGGGATCATTTTCCCAAAAGTAAACTAAAGACTAGTCAGAGGAGAAATGATCTGCCCTCCTGATGATCCCCAGCACACTGGCTCCAGGAGAATGCCCTCTGTTCTGAGCTCTGGGTCTTCGGCAAGGACAGCTAACACCACCACCCCCACAAGCCCCATAGTGGGCCTCATGCTGCCCTGTTATGTCAGCTACTCCACACTGCGTGAGGAAAGGAAAATAACAATAACATCAACAAACAAAAAAAACCTTTCCACCATTGTTCAATGGAAGCAAGAACCCAGAATTTTAAAGTAAGCTTATATAGAAATCGAGAAGAAACAAGAGTCAAATGTCTATATCTATGTATATTGTGGGAACAAGGAAGGGAGGTACTTATCTGAAACAAAAGTCACTTCTCCTAGTTGTTCTCAGGGACTAACCAGACAATCCTTCTAAATAAGAGAATAGATTTAAAGGAGATTCTTAGTGAATTCCAAGAATTGAGGCTGATCAATAGAACCTTATTAGGCCTCTTTCTAGTCTTCCCTAAAGAGTCATATGCATGCGTTTCTGCATCTTGGGTACATCTCATAATCAGATAACTTTCTCCACAAAGGACCTGTCTATTTTATCTGGCCACAATTCATCTATACTAAGAAAATATTGGAAAAACTATAAGTCTTATAAGCTAAGATGTCTTCTTACAAAGTTTTCTTCTATCTTTCAAGAGAATGAGTGCCCTTCTCTGTGATGTTTTCTAGGGTGATATAAGGTATGGGGCCCAACAAGAGACCCCGTATACCGGATAGCACAACTCTAATTATGCCATGTCTTTTAAAGCCCTTGCAGAAACTCTTTCTAGAAGAACAGAGGCAGCATCCACAGAGCCCACAGGCAAACTGAAGCTTTGTCCTCTTGAAAAGTTCCTAGAACTACATGAAAAGGAGGTTGGAAGGGTGAGATAATCAATGAATGGAACAGGATGGAAAAATGAAGTGGAAAGATTCCCTAGATATAAAATATGCAGAGGTCCTGAGAGTCAGAGTATCTTTTTTAGTAATGTCTTGATACACTATAAGGGTTAAAAAATAATTATAGGTAACTATTTCATTCTATTAGGAAAATTAGATATGTAATAATGAAATAATTAATAATGCTGCAATGCATTATATATAGATGATAAAATATGTATATTTATATATAGATGCTATAAAAATAATGCCCCTTTGAGGGGTATAAAGATTTAGTTATGATCAGTGTAGACTGAAGTAGGTGGAAATGTCTTTAATGTTAAAAAAACTTGAGATAGATCTTGAATATTACATAAAGTTTGCCTAAATGAAAGAGAGGGGATAAGGAAAGAGAAAACATATTCTAGTGCCCTCCACAAAGCCATTGAATAAAGATCCCACGTCTGTTCTTGTTCACCACCCGGGTTTTGCTCTTTTAATGGTACCCTGGGTTAGAGGCCATTCCCCATTCCCTCTGCTTCCTTTCAGAAACTCCTTCTACCATCCATTAGTAGGAGAGAGTAAAGAAATAGTTCTGGCAAAAAAAAATAGCTGTCATATCATTGAGAGTGTAACTCTGACTATGCTATGGATAGGTGACAAAAAATGCGAGGCATCTAACTTGCCTTTGTTGCAGATTTATCCAATAAGAGAGAAGGGGGACCGCACTCGTCAGGCCCTCATCATCTGTAACACAGAGTTTGACCACCTCCCAAGGCGTGATGAGTCCAACCATGACATCATTGGCATGAAGGGGCTGCTTGAGGACAGGGACTACAGTGTGCATGTGAAAGAGAATCTCACAGCCAAAGTAAGAGGCCCTTCCCTGTGCAGTACATATAAACCTACATGCCCATGTACCTCTAATGACTAACCAGCTTTGCAATTTAGGGCCATTCATTTCACTTATCTGGAAGTCGCTTTTTTAAATTTTAAAATGAAAAAATTAAAGCTATCATCTATAATCACCTATACTTCCTTTGAGCAGTGTATATATACACATATACATATACACATACACACACATATGTATGTGTGTGTGTTCCCGTGGGTATATATTTCAGCCACAGTGTTGTCATTATTATGGTATTATTTTATTATTATTAAACCAAAAACTGCTCACTTTACTTTGCTTAGGAATCACACACACAAACACACGCACACACACATTTTGTTCCAGAATGTGGTGATGTGGGGACAGCTGGAGAAGGGGTTCACCTAGAAGGCACTGCAGTCATAGAGGACACAGCCTCTGACAGAACTGTGGCAACACTGGGGTGTGTGGCTATGAGGAGAGGTAGAATATCCTAAGTCCTCTCTTCTACTGCTCTCTGATTTCCTCCAAACTTCTGCTAGCGCCTTCTATTAGCCAAACACAATTTGAAGCTTGTTAACAAGAGAGCCCAACAGGTATGATTCATAGAGCCATGAAACAGGGAAGATAAGAGCAGGGAATGGATCTAGGGATTGGAAGTAAAAAATAACAAGCCCAGGAGAGTGATGTCAAGGAGTACAGAGGAGTAGAAAGTGCCAAGAATCCATCTCTCTCTCCACCTGGAGAACAGTTATACTGATGGAAACAGTCTAAATGGACTATTTTCGAACTCCAGAGTATATTTGAACACTTGCAGCTTCTAGAGAACAGCTTAGCTAGTAAATTGCAGTTAATTTCTGTCAATTTCAGCTGTGAGTACAGTGGTGGCTACCCATTCCTCGCCCCCGAGTCCTGTGGCAGGCAGCTGTGGGGACAGCAACCTTGATGGATCCAGAGTGGGCCACTTGATGGATCCAGAGTGGGCAATAAGGACTTTGTCCTCCAAATGTTCAGCGTTCTGTGTTCTGACGGTGTATTGCTGCTTTGGATCACTGAGCGGTGGGCACAGAGACTGGAGGCCATTGTTTCAATCCTCATGGACTGAAGGGGCTTCCAGGAGATTTAAAGAAGCTGCACCTTTTTTTTTTTTTTGGAGATTCAAAAACAGCTGCAAATACCAGAGAATTTAGAAAGCTACCATCTGTGCTCACGTTCAAAAAAACCTGAGAAGACCAAGTTTTCACCTCAGGCTAATGTCTGGCACAGAGATATACTAAAACAACAACAATAATAATAATAATAACAACAGTAACTGCAAACCCTGGGGTAAGGTCAGAAACTGACTTCCAGAGTTGTAACATTATAAAATTCAAATATCTAGTTTTTACCAAAAATCACAAGGTATATGGGAAAGCAGAACAAAATCAAGAGAACAAAATAAATGGAAAGAAACTACCCCTGAGGAAGCCCAAATGCCAGACTTCTTAGACAAAGACTTAAAACAACTGTCTTACAGATGCTTGAAAAGCTAAAGGAAGGCATGGGCAAAGACAATAATAAGATATATGAACAAAATGAGAACATAAATAAGGAGAAATTATGAAATGGAAGCAGAAAGAAAGTCTGGAACTGAAAAGTGCGATAACTGAGTAGAATAGAAAAGTAAGAGAGAATATCAATGAAACTAAAACTTGGTTCTTTGAAAAGATCAACAAAGTTGACAAACTTTTAGCTAAACTGACAAAGAAAAACAAAGAAAGAAGTTGCAAATAAATAAAACAGAAGTAAAAGTGGAGACATTACTTATGTTCTTACAGAGATAAAAAAAGGATTATAAGAGAGTTTATTATGAACAATTGTGCACCAACAAATTGAATAACTTAGATGAAATGGACAAATTCTGAGAAACACACAAACTAATAAGACTAAATCATAAAGATATAGAAATTCAGAATAAACCTACACTAGTAAGGAGATTGAATTAGTAATCAAAAACCTCACAACAAAGAGAAGTCCCGGACCAGATATCTTCACTGGTGAATTCCACCAAACATTTAAAGAATTAATACTAATCTTTCTTAAACTCTTGGAAAAAATTGAAGAGGAAGGAACACTTCCTAATGTATTCTATAAGGCCAGAATTACTCTGATACTAAAGCTAGATAAAGACATTATAAAAAAAAAATTATAGAGCAATATCCCTTGTGAATATAGATGTAAAAATCCTCAACAAAATATTATTAAATAGAATCCAACAGGATATTAAAAGGTTATTCACCCCGGCCAAGTGGGATTTATCCCAGGAATGTAAGAGTGTTTCAACATAAGAAAATCAATCAATGTATTGCATCATATTAATACAATGAAGGAAGAAAAACACATGATAATCTCAATTGATACAGAAAATGACGTTTTACAAGGTCCAACATCCTTTCATGATGAAAACTCTCAGAAAACCGGGAATAAAAAGAAAATTCCTCAGAGTGATACAGCGTATTATTAAAAACCCAGAGCTAACATTATACTCAATAGTGAAAGACTGAAAGCTTTCCTACTGAGATCAGGAATAATACAAGGGTACCCACTTTCACTGCTGTTGAACATTGTAATGGAAGTTCTAGCCAGAACTACTAGACAAGAAAAATAAATAAAAGACATCCAAATTGTAAATAAAGAGGTAAAATTATCTCCATTCACAGGTGACATATCCTATATATAGAAAATATCAAAGAATTCACAAGAAATCTATTAGAACTAATAAACAAATTCAGCAAAGTTGCAGGGCACTAGATCAACATAAAAAAATAGTTTTGTTTCTATACACAAGCAATGAATATCTGAAAAGAAAATTAGGAAAGCAATTTCATTTACAATAGCACCTAAAATAATTGAATACTTAGGAAAAAATCTAACCAAAAAGGTGAAAGACTTGTATACTGAAAACTACAAAATATTGCTGAAAGAAATTAAGGAAAATCTAGATAACTGTTAACACAACCCATTTTCATGACTTAATCTTGTTAAGATGTTATACTCCCCAAAGTGATCTACAGATGCAGCACAATTCCTATCAGAATTCCAACAGCCTCATTGTTTTCAGAAATAGAAAAGCCAATCGTCAAATTCATATGGAATTGCAGTGGGCCCCAACAGTCAAAGCAATCTTGAAAAAGAAGAATAAGTTGGAGGACTCAGACTTCCTAACTTTGAAATGTACTGTAAAGCTACAGTAATTAAAACAATATGGTACTGGTATAAGGACAGACATAGAGATCAATGGAATAGAATAGAGCAGCCAGAAATAAACCGTTGCTTGTACAGTTAATTGTTTTTTAACAAAGATGTCAACGCTATTCAAAGGGGGAATGGACAGTCTTTCAACAAATAATGCTGGGAAAACTGGATATCCACATGCAAAATAATAAAGTTAGACCCTTACCTTACACCACATGGAAAACTAACTCAAAATGAATCAAATACATAAATTTAAAAGTTAAAACTATAAAACTCTTAGAAGAAAACATTGGAGAAAACCTTCATGAGATCAGATTTGGAAACAACTTCATGGATGTCATCAAAAGAATAGGCAATAATACAAAAAATAGATAAATTTGACTTCATCAAAATCAAGAACTTTTATGCCTTGAAGAATACAATCGATAAAGCAAAAAAACGATCTACAGAATGGGAGAAAATGGTTGCAATTCTCATATCTGATAAAGGATTAATATTAAGAATAGATATAAAACTTCTAAAGCTCAGCAACAACAACAAAATACAAACAACCCGACTCAAAAGGGTTGGGATGGGCAAAGGATTTGAATAGTCATTTCTCCAAAGAAGATTTACAAATGACCAATAAGCACATAAAAAGATGCTCAGCATTATTAGTTATTAGGGAAGTTCAAATCAGAAGAACCATAAGACATCACTTCACAAGAACTAGGTAGGCTATTAGAAAGAAACACACACATACACAAAATAACACGCATTGGCAAAGACGTGCAGAAATTAGAACCCTGTGCATTGCTGGTGGGAATGTAAAACAGTGCAGCCAGTGTGGAAAAAAGTTTGGCGGTTTCTCAAAATGTTATACTACTATACAACCCACCAATTCCACTCTTAGGTATAGGTTCTTTTCAATCCAAAAGAATTGAAAGCAGGGATTTGAACAGATATTTGTACACCAATGTTCACAGAAGCATTATTCACAATAGCTAAAAGGTGAAAACAATTCAAGCGTCCATCAACAAATGAATGGATAAACAAAATGTGGTAAATACATAAAATGGAATATCATTCAGCCATTAAATGGGATGAAATCTTGAAATATGCTACAACATGAATGGGTTTTGAAAACATTATGTTTACTGAAATAAATCAGACACAGAAGGGCAACTATTGTATGATTCCACTTAAATGATATACAGAGAATATGCACATTCACAGAGAAAGAAACTAAAATAGAGCTTACTACAGGTTGGGAGAAGGGGACAGAAGGAGTTATTGTTTAATGGGTACAGAGATTTTGTTGGGGAGGGTGAAAAGTTTTGAGTATAGAGAGTGGTGATGTTTATAGAACACCTTACATATATTTAATGCCACTGAATTGTACAGTTATGAATAGTTAAAATGATAAATATTATGTATATTGTGAAATACTTGTCAAAATTATTGTATGACATCAACAGCGACAACAACAAAATAATAATAACAATGGCCACTTCTGAGCACCTTCTGTATATTGGACACTGTAAAGTGTCAGGCACTTTACATTTATTCTTTCTATTGCTCAAAGCATTACTGGTAGAATGTATGGGTCTTGTGATGTGGTGTTTAAAGGTTTACTCTCTTTCAGGCCATGGAATTAATGCTAAGGAGTTTTGCTGCCCGCCCAGAGCACAGGTCCTCAGATAGCACATTCTTGGTGTTCATGTCTCATGGCATCCTGGATGGAATATGTGGGACTATGCATAGTGATGAAAAACCAGATGTGCTATCTTACGACACCATATTCCAGATTTTCAACAATCGAAACTGCTCCCACCTTAAGGATAAACCCAAGGTCATCATTATCCAGGCCTGCAGAGGAGGTGAGTTCTGAGGGGGTCCAGAGGTCCAGCAGGTGCCTGTCATGTAGGGTTGTACTATGTGTTTCATATCTAGTGAAAATGACCCTGTCCCTCACTTTAGTGCAATTATACCAAATAGATTTCTTTGGAAAAAATACTTAGGGGTAACAATAGAGAAATTGATAGACAACTTAAATATAATTGCCATCCAGTCTCAGTGAACCACAGTAAGTGATGATGATATTGTTAACTCTAAATAAATTTTGTGTAAAATTATTAAAATGGTGGCATGGAATGGCTTTAATTTCAACATTTGCTTATCAAAATTTTATGATCTTTGACCTGAGAAATGTTTCACATGATAGTGAAGGATCCGAATTTAATACAATGCTAAGTAAGTGAAAGAAGCCAGACCTCAAAGTCTACATTTTATATGATTCCATTTACATGGCATTAGGAAAATCTTAAAAGTATAGGGACAAAATCAGGTCAATGATTGACAGGGGCTGAGAATGGAAGGATTATTCTGTATCTTAATTGCAGTGGTAGTTACATGACTGCCCATATTTATCAAGACTAGTTAAACTGTACATCTGAAAAGGGTGAATTTTACTGTATGTAAATTATACCTCATAAACCAAAACCAAATTATTATGGCATTGCTTTCTCCCATAAGTATTTTACTTCAAGCTTTAATACATTATATCACTTCGAGGATGGCTTAGAAGGAAGCAGCAGCAATGGAAAAGGAAAAAGAATGCAAAGACTGTTTTGGAATCCTGCTTCTGTTGTTGAACAGTGCAGATAGTCCTTTCCTTGACTTTGCACTGTGGTTAATTTGCTATCGTTAAACCCCAAACTGTTCGCTTTACTTAGGAATAATTGATAGTAGTTTTCAGCACCATTACTGCCCCTAAACAACAGGTACCTTCCAGCTTCAGATGGTGGTTGCTATTCATTGATATCTTGTTAGATGTGAGTAGAGATAAAGTTGTGTTAAGCCTAACTGTATGTGTGTGTGTGTGTGTGTGTGTGTGTGCAATGAATTGGCACACCTTCATGAAAGGATATCCTATTTATTTATGCGTCAAAGGATTGGTAAAATAGCTTCAGCAGTGAATAATGTGACAGGACGGTGTTTCCTCAGCAAACAGTGGAGAGCTGTGGGTCAGCGACTCGCCAGCAGCCTCAGCAGACAGTTCTGCACAGTCCCCAGAGGACCTAGAGGACGATGGTGTCCACAAGACCTACATGGAGAAGGATTTCATTGCTTTCTGCTCCTCAACCCCACGTATGTGTCTTTCATTTGTAGGCAGGGATTTGTGGGGATGAGGCCTGCCTGCCTACACGATTTGGCCCATAATCCCAGGAAAGAACACAGACTAAATGTCTTTGGAAGGCATTTTTAAAAGAATAGAGAGCTCATCCAAGTTTCTATAATCTTCTTTTATAGCTTCTTTATCGTCACCGAGTCTCCTTCTACATTTACATCCGCTCAGACGCCAGTCTTCCGTATCCTCTAAGTAAGTGATCAGTCAGTAAGCATACAGCAGTATTGCTTTAGTAAGTCTACTATGCATCATAGCATTCTTTTTACTGCTGAGGACATTTTTAAAAGAAAAAGAAGACATGAGCTCCTCTGCAGAAAGTGTATTTTCTAGTTCAGAAAATGAGAAGTTTAAGTATGAAATATTGTTAAAAGATCATCAAATAATTAATAGCACCTGGTAAAGTGAGATTACAATGTAGGGGTAGTAAAGAGCTTTAGAGGATCAATTCCAAAACCACCATATTTAAGGTGATATAATTTGAAAAAGAAGATAGTATAGCAGAGAGAAGAGAATTCTCAGGCCTGGACAAAGGCAGACAGAATTTCTAAAATGCTCAAGCAAAAGCTTATTCTTACTTAATATGTATTATTTATTTAATTATATATCATATGTATATATTCTTATTTAATCTTTAGCACATGTCTGTCAGGTAAACACTATTATCTCATTCCCACAGATAGGGAAACTAGAACTCACAAAAATCGTATAAATTGCCTGAATAAACACTGGTAGTATTATGCCAGATGTGAATCCAAGTCAGTTCAACTCTGAAGTTTAGGTTATTTTAGCTAAACCAACAAAAACAATAGAGAGGCTATATTATTTACAACCTTGAACGATTGCAAAGTCAGAAATAGGTAGACTTTTATGCCCAGAAATGAGCTACTAAAAAACCAGAATTTAGCAGCCTTAGCAAAAGCATTCTCTGTCCGTGACTAATCTAGGAATTGGATCACCAGTGTTAACTCAGAGAGAAGCCCCTCAGGATTACCTGCTGGCTGGCCTGTTACCTGAAGAGAAAATCAATGGTGTGGTATTGAAGCATCTTCTGAGCCAGACAGATGTGGGTTCAATAACTTCTCCATCAATTTGTAGCTGCCCCACCTTGAGAAAATTTTCAAGATTAAGTCAGAGAATATTTGCTAGAAAATGTGATCTATAGTATCAATTTAAACATATCTGTTCTACATTTTGAACCATAGAAATATGGTTCTAGAACTCTATTTCCCCATCTGTGATGCTATAACTTTTACATGATGTCTCTCAGGCTTCACTCTAAATTCACCATGTTACTTTGTATATAAAGTCAAGCACAGAAATATGAGTCTTTATTTTTCCTACTTGCTTAAGTCTGTCTAGAGATACTTACAATCTATGACTTTTGTGAAAGGATAAAGGCTGTAACTCAAGATTTATCGTTTCCTTTATGCACAGACAGTGTTTCTTGGAGAAGTGCAAGTGGTTCTCTCTTCATCACACAACTCATAAATTATGTTCAAAAATATTCTTGGTGTTGTCACCTGATGGATATATTTGTGAAGGTAAGTACCATATTATATGTTACACTATTTATTTGTTCATACAAGCCAAAATAAATATGTATGATAACCCACCTGTATATTTTAAACAAATGATAGGATATTATTTGCACTGTGGCACAATTTGAATTGTTTCCAAAGTACTAAGCTCTGGTAGACAAAGAAAGTTAATACATGCTGAATTCTGTATTCAAAATGTTAAAAATTTGGGAGATAAAGAAAGAGATAGAAAGAAATATAGAGTACAGAATATTTGTAGAGAAAAATATAATCTATGGAGATAACATGGCATGGAACAACATTTACTTAAATATTCAGAATTATGGAAAAAATTTTGATATAAAAATTTATTTTTGATAAATATTTATTGATTTCCTTTATAAATAAGAACTAGGGCTGCCTGATGCAGATAAAACAGTAAAAAAGAGCAGAGTCTCTGCTGTCATAGCTAATATTCCTGTAGAAGACATAGGTAGTAAAAGTCACATTATTCAAAAATATGTCATTTCCAATTTCTAGGGAAAAGAATAACAGGGTTTTGTGAGAGGGAATAAAGGAAAATTTCTATGATAGATATGGTCATCTGTAAAGTGAAAGTTTAGTGGAATAGGGCAATTTGTGTGTGTTCTTGACTGGCATAAAAAGTATTTACTAGTCAATGAAGGAGAGATAGGAGGGAGTGGGGAACGAGTGAAAAAAGAATCTGAGGTAAGATCATAAGGAACACAAGAAATTTGGGATGGAAATCTCAGAGGACTGAAAGGATTAGGTCTTAATGAGGATTCAAGGAGAGAATCTCCAAGGTTAGGGTCTCCAGTGCATAAACCTTGAGGTGAAAATTTGTAGTTAAAATGTAGGGGTCAGAGACTTCTGCTTCTAGCCAAAATGGCCTATCAGAGATTAGATTTACACCCCGTCTAAAACAAACAAACCAAAAAAAAAAGACAAACGCAGTATATGAAGCAACAGTTTTCAATACCCTGAACATTAGACAATGAAGCACACTGATCTTGAGAAATGAGAAGCAAACAAGGCTGAGCCCTACAATTACCTAAGCTTACTATTTTGAGAGTTTTCAGGCCACAGCCCAGGAAGACAGAATCTAATAGCCTCCTAAAATTAAGGAGACAGAACTGAGAGTCCAGAGAGAGCAAAGTGGTTAGAGTTCATAGAACAGAATATCAAAGAGGAGAAAGCTCCAGAGAGAGAGAACTCTGGACATCTTCCGAGGTCAAGTATTTAGCAGAGGACTGTTCAGCATGTGTGTGAGGAAACTACTGAGTCAGGGGAAAGGACTACCCTGAGGGATTAGAGGGAACAATACTGTGGTGCTCATACAGAGCCAGGGCTAGTGCCTATTGCCACCAGCCAGACTGGAAAAATCTCATAATTTGCCTGCACATTACTCGCAAGGGTCTTGCCTAAGTTGTAGGGAATGAAGAACCCTGAAATAAACAATTCACTCATCCTTTCTAACAGATCTAAAAGCAAGACACAAAAGGATCAAACTGTTCTCAAGTAGCCTAATGCATCCAAGAACAAAGCATAAAAATATATACAAAAATATTCAGCACTTGACAATATAAAATTCAAAATACGTAACAGCCAATAAAAATTACCAGGGATGCAAAGATTTTGGAAAATAAAACCCACCATTAGCAGAATAATCAATCAATCAAAACTCAACCATAACTGGCATAGATGTTAGGAAAAAGACAATAAACAGTTATTGTAACAATATTCCATATGTTCAAATAGTTAAGTAAAGTCATGGAAGATATAAAAAGATCTAAATTGTATTTTAAGATATGAAAACTAGAATGTGTGAGCTTAAAAAAATACTGGATGGAATTAAAAGCAGATTAGATACTGTAGAAGAAAAAATTAATGATCTTGAAAAAACTATACAAGATGAACCATGGAGAACAAAAAAAAAATAATAAAATAAAAAATAAAAAAATCATCAGCGAGCTGTGAGACAAATTTGAAAGGCCTAAGATACGTGTAAATGATGTCCTGAAGAGGAAGGAACAAAATAATATTTGAAGAAATAATGGTCAAAATTTTTCCAAATATAATGTAAACTATAAACCCATGGATTAAAGAAGGGCAACAAGCTTGAAGTACTAAAGAAAATGGAAAAAAATGCAGCAAGGCCCATCTGAGTCTAATTTCTCTAAACTGTTGATAAAAAGATGATTCTAAAAGTAAAGAGAAAAAAGAGACATACTACATACAATAAAGTATGACAAGAAACAAAGTAAAGAATGGCAAGCAGATTAATTATCAGAAACAACTCATGCTAGAAAACAGCCAGGAAAGGCAAGAAAAAGTCATCCTAGAATTCTAAGATGAGAAAAACATAAAAATATCTTTTATAAACAAAAGTAAAGACTTTTTAAGCCATATAAAAGCTGAAATATTCTATCACTGGCAAACTTGTACTGTAGGAAATGTTAAAGAAAGTGAATTAGGCAGAAGGAAAATGACAACAGATGGAAATATAGATCTACAGAAAGGAACGAAAGTATTGGAAATGGTAACTACATGGACAAATACATATATCTCCACATTTTCTTCTTAAAAACACTCCTTAAAGGAAAATTGATGGTGTAATAAAAATAATACGTGAGATGAGAGATGAGACTGTGATAAGTAAAAGTTTTATATTATAAACGCTGAATTAACTACTAAAAGAACAAAATCAGGAATTATAGCTAATAAGCCAACAAAGGACATAAACCAAAGTCATAACAGTACTCTATCCAAGGGAAAGCAGAAAAACTGGGAAGTGGGGAAAAAAAAACAGATAATGCAAATTTTAAAAAATAGTGATGTGACAGATTTAAACTTAACTTTATGAATAATCATATTAAATGTAAATTGTCTAAATACATCAATTAAATGTTAAACATTGTGATATTGCATTAAAAAAAGTATCAACTATATGCTCTCTACATCAAACACACTTTACATATAGTGAGACAAATATGTTAAAAGTAAAATGATAAAAAAAATTAGCTAACACTAGTCAACAATAACCTAGAATAGATTATTAGATTCAGATAAAATAAATTTTATATCAGAGAATATTAGCAGGAATAAAAATGTGTATAAGGATTATGGGATCAATTCATGGGGAAGACATAAAAATTCTAAACATTTAGGTACCTAATCGCAGTTTTAATATGTAGGAACCAAAAATGGATAGAATTGCAAAGAGGAACAGAGAAATCCACAGCTAAAGTCAGAGATTTCATTACCCCTCTCTCAACAACTGATAGAACAAGGGCACAGAAAATCAAGGATAGAGAAAATACAAACAACATAACCAAACAACCTTACCCAATTGGTATATATAAAGCATGCCAATCAACAATAGTAGAGTACACAATCTTTTCAAGTGCAGATGAAATATTTACCCAAATAAACCATATTTTGGACAATAAAACAAGTCTTAATCAATTTAAAATGATTTCAGTCATACAGAATATGCTCTAACCAAAATGGAATCAAATTAGAAATCATAATAGGAAAGTCTCTAGAAAATCTGCAAATATTTAATAATATATTTAAACAACACAACAAAGGACAAATTAAAATGGAAATTAGAAATCAATTTTAACTGAATTTGAATTAAAACACAACATATCAAAAACTATGAGATGCTAATAAAGAAATATTTAGGAAGAATTTAAATCACTATATGATGGAATTAGTAAAGAAGAAATGTCTCAAATCAATGACTTCATCTTGCATCTTAAGAAACTAGAAAAAGAAGAGAAAATGAAGAGAAAACTAAGAAAAAAAAGAAATAGAGGTAAGAATGGAGATTAATAAACTGGAAAATATAAAAACAATAGAGAAAATAAGTGGAATCAAAAGATGATTCTAGTAGATTAACAAAATTGGTAAAACTAAACAGACTGAATAGGAAAAAAGAGTGACAAAAATTACTATTATCAAGAATGAAAAGATGACATCACTATGATTCTACAGATAGTAAAAAGATAATAAGGAAACATAATGAACAACATTATGTAAATGATTTTTTACAACTTACGTGAAATGGATACATTGCTTGAAATACACAAACTATCAAAGCTCAATCAAGAAGTAAACAACCAGAACAGCCCTGTGTAAATTACACAAATAAAATCTGTACTTAAAAGCATTCCCACAAAGGAAACTCCAGGCCTAGATGGCTTCAGTTGTGAATTTGACCAAACATTTAAGGAAGATATTATATCAATTCTATACACATTCATCCAGATAATTAAAAAGTAGGAAATACCTCAGGACTCATTTTACAGGACCAGCATTTTGCTGCTAACCATAGTGGATAAAGACATTATAAGAGTGGTAAAATACAGACAAATATTCCTCATGACTGGAGATACAAAATTCTTAACAAAATTGTAGCAAGTAAATCCAACAATATCTAAAAAGGAAAATACCTCATGACCGAGTATGGTGTATCCCAGGAATGCAAGGTTGGCATAAAATTTGAAAAATTAATAACTATAATTCCTTATATTCACAAACGAGAGAGAGAAAGAAAGAGAGAGATAGAGAGAAAGAAACAAAAGAGAAAGAGAGAGTAATAAAGAAAAAAATAAGAAAGAAAAGAAAATCCTTATGACCATTTCAGTAGACACAGAACAACCATTTGACAAAATCCAACTTCCCTTTCTTATAAATAAAGACTCTCAGCAACCTAGGAGAACTTTCTTACAGGGATGAAGGCTATCTATGAAAACTCTACAACTAACATCATATTTAATGGCAAAAGACGGACTGTTTATCCCCTAAGATCAGTTAACAACACATCTCTATGCCTAAGTCTCTTTCATAAAAGTGGGAAAAAGAGTAGCACCTATCTGGTAGCATTGAGGTGTGGATTTAATGAAATGTTGCAGACTAATCCTCCAGTATAGGTCTTGGCACATAGCAAGTCTTCAAGCAATGAAGGTTGGTGGCAGTCTGCACGATGGTGGGGAGGGGGAGTTACACAAAAAAAACTTGGAGAAAGAAATGGAGATAAAGCAAATACAGGAAAATGTTAATAATTGGAGTTGAACATATTATTGTTTATTTCACTGTTTTTTTTTTTCAAATTTTCTGTATGGTTGGAAAAAAACTTACAATGAAAGTTTTGGGAAAAAAATTGGAGTCCAGAAATAGACTCAAACATGTATGGACGACTGATTTTTGGCAAAATTATGAATGCAATTCAGTGGAGAAGAGAGTGTTTTTAACAATGGTACAAAGACAATTGGCTATCCATATGTAAAAATAGTGAACATTTGTTCACCCTAGAAACATACAAAAATTAACCGCAAATGTACGTAAGACCTAAATATAAAACCTATAGTTAGAAGTCTTCTAGAAGAAAAATTAGGAGGGAATTTTTTGTGACCTTGGGTTATGCAGTTATTAGCCATGAAACCAAAAGCACTATCCATTAAAAATGATAAATTTGACTTCATCCAAAATAAAGTTGTGTCCTCTTCTAAAGACATATTTAGGAGATTAAAGAGACAATTACAGATTGGAAGAAAATATTTGATTTTTTTTCATAATATAAAAAGGACTTTTATTCATGATATATAAAGCTTTATAATATATAAAACTTTTATTCATAATACATAGAAAACAAAGAATTCTCATTACTCTATGAAAAAATAAAACTAAAACAACTGCAAAAAATTTTAACAGACATTTCACACACACACGAAAACTAACTCATGGAAAATTAGTACATATAAAGATGCTCCTAAGTCATGAGGAAAAAGCAGATTAAAACTGAAATGATTAATAATGAACACATTTTGGAATGGATAAAATTAAAAAGACTGAGCACGCTAAATGTTGGGATGTGTGTGGGAGAACTGAAACTCTCATATAGTGCTGGTGTGAATGTAAAATAACATATCCACTTGGGAAAATATTTCAAAAGGCTCTTAGGCAATCACACACCTACCACATGATCTAACTATTCCTGTTCTAGATATTTACCCAAGAGAAATGGAAGTATGTGGTCACAAAAATACTTTGTGAATATTCATAACAGCGATATTTGTAATAGCTCAAAATTGGAAACAAACTAAATGGAACATTGAAAGGACAGATAATTAGTGGCGTAACCTTACAGTGGAGTACTACTCAGCAATAAAGAGATATAAACTATTGATGCATATAACTTCATGAATAAATCTCAAGATAATTATGCTGAGTGAAAAAGGCAAGATAAAAAATCTATATCTATAGAATGATTTATATGAAATTCTAGAAAATACCAAGTATCTTACATTGACAGAAAGTACATCATTATTTGCTTGGGAAATGGGGGGGGGCAGTTTGGAGAGAGAGAAATTGCAAAAGGTTATGAGAAAACTTCTGAAGGTGATAGACAGGTTTATTATATTAATTGTGCTGCTGGTTTACCAGTATACATATATGTCAAAACTTATCAAATTGTTCAGTTTAAGTATGTGCAGTTTATTGTACGTCAATTTGACTTCAGTAAAGCTCTTTTTTTTCAGTTCTGGGGATCAGAAACTGAGTTAATGGATAATTGAGGTTGATGGGTATATTAATTTGCTGTCATAACAAACTACCACAGACTGGGTGGCTTAAACAACAGAAATTTATTTCTCACAGTTCTGGAGGCTGGAAATCCAAGATCAAAGTGTTGGGAGGGTTGGTTTCTTCTGAGGCTTTTCTGCTTGGCTTTCGGATAGCCTCCTTCTCACTGTATCCTCACGTGACCTTTTCTCTGTGCACCCACATTCCTGATGTCTCTCCTTGTGTCCAAATTTCCATTTCTTATAAGGACACTAGTCATATTGGATTAGGGTGCACTCTAATTGCCTCATTTTAACTTACTCACCTCTTGAAAGGCCCTATCTCCAAAGATAGTCACATTCTGAGGTACTAGGGATAATGGCTTCAACGTATGGATTTTGGAGGAACTCAATTCAGCCCATAACATTGGGGTCTTGAATTCAGTGGGAATTTATCTGAAGGTAAAGTTTAGGCTCTGACTTAGGGTATCAAGTTATGGGGGTCAGTGGAGAGTTGTCAGCATAATTAAGGGATTGGTCCCTTTTTAGGGTTGTTATAGCTATTCTTCCCTCACATATCTACAAATATCCTTGATCCTGATCATCACGATGTTGGCCAATGGTGCAATGGGTTCTATTTCTGCACAAGAGACAGGATCCAAAACTTTCTTTTTATTTTCAGGTTCAACGATCATTTGAAGAACCAGATGTTAAAGCCCAGATGCCCTCACTTGAAAGACAAACTATGACCAGATATTTTTATCTTTTTCCAGACAATTAAAATTAGTAAGTACCCACACATGATGTTAGCAAATCAGGAAATTGACTAGAATAGGGGACAGAGTGGTGATGGTTTGTGCTCAAATGGACTATACAAGATTTTGTGTTTATCATTTTATCATTGCCTTCTAATATCTATCAAAAAAAAAACTTTGGTTTTTGGCCATGGGCTAGTAACTGGTATTAGTATTTTCTTTCTGCCACAAATATTTCAAAAAGTAGGCAAAAAAATTGGAAGATATATTTTGATATATTGGACAACAGGAAGTGCAGGACTGCTTTTGCTAAGAGAAGAGGAACAAATAAGGTAAACCCTAAAATTACATCTAAACCATTCACAGTTTTATTCCAAAACAAAATTTCTGGTATATAGTGCAGGAAGTGATAACAAGCAAAATATGACAGTCTCTCTGAGTTGAGGAGACAAAGATCAGAATTCAGGGAAGTTGAGGCAGCTGAAATGTGAAGGATTAAATTCCAGAGGTGAGAGAGCTATACAGAGAAAGAACTCTGTAGCTCTTGAGTCTTTCTCAAGAAAGAGAAGTCCTCTCGAGTCTTTGGCTGGATATCAATTTCCACGTTTATAGAATGACCAAGAGTCCAGGAAAAGAACCACTGCCTGAGAACTGTAAGGTCAATAATTCACAGAGTTCACACAGCACTGGCAACTGGATGAATTCAAACCAGGCCACGTGGACGGGACTCAGTGAACACAGAACAGCCATTAGAGATCCCAGTGAGGTCACACTTTGTAGTTGGACTAAAATAATCCTGGAGTAAAAGCTACTCTATAACTTCCCTAACAACACTTTAAAAACAAGGCATGACATAATAAAAGTGATCCACATTAAACTTGAGTGCCTGCCAAGACAATGTCAATACTCTTTAAATCAAATACCATATGATCTCATTCATAAGTAGAAGATAAAAACAACAGGAAATAAACACATAGAGACAGAGATTGGATTGGTGGTTACCAGAGGGGAAGGGGGGAATGAGGGTGGTGAAAGCGATGATTGGGCACATGTGTGTGGTGATGGATTGTAATTAGTATATGGGTGGTGAACATGATGTAATCCATGCATAAATGGAAGTATAATGAGGTACACCTGAAATTTATACAATGTTATAAACCAATGTGACCACAATAAAAAATAAATAGATTGATAGATAAATAAAATTCTTTAAATCCAAACATACAAATATATAATATTTGCAATGTCTGTCTGGCAACACATCAAAAATTACTATGCACTTAAAGAATTATTAATGTGTTACTTGAAACCATAAAAAAAGTTATTAAATATAAACAGACCAAGAGATGATTAAATTAGCAAAGACTTTAAAAGAATATTAAAATTTGGCTTAGTGATATTAAGAAAACAATGACTATAAAGAAAGAGAGTAAAATATGTAAAAACAATCCAATCCAAATTGAATTTGAAGAGCTTAAAAAGATAATGTATGAAGTGAAAAATTCATTGGATGTAGTTAGCTGCATATTAAAAACTGCAGGAAAAAAAATGAACTTGAATTCTTGTCAATAGAAACTATTCAAACTAAAGCATAGAGCAAAAAAAGAAAAACAGACACAGAGCCTCAGTAATCTGTGGGACAATAACAAATGATCTAACAAATAGTCGTGTAATTGGATCCCTAGAAGGAGAGGCAAAGGAATACCACAAATATTTAAATAGATAAGGGCCAGCAACTCTTCAAAATTGATAAAAACTATGAACTCACAGAGCAAAGAAACTCAATGAATCCTAAGCAGGATAAATACATATAAATCAACCTCAAGGCACATCATAAATTGCTGAAAATTAATGATAAGACTTTTTTAAGCCACAGAAAAAGAACAAATTATGTATAAGGGAATAAAGATAAAAATGACCACAAACTTCTTGTCAGAAATATTGCAACACAGAATACAATGAAATGACAATTTTTAAAGTGCTAAAAGAAAAACAAAATGATAGCCTACACTACTACAAAATATCATTCAAAAATGAAGATGAAATAAACTTACACAGGGAAGCAAAAGAAGAGAGCTAACAAATTAGAACTATAGTAAGTAAAGGAAATGATAATGAAAATAACGTTCTTCAGGTGCAAGAAAAATGGCACCAGAAGGAGACTTAGATCCGCAGAATGACAAGCACCATATTTATTAAAGGCTTTTCATTTTCATTTTAAAAAATTTCTTTATAAGATAATTGTTTAAAGTAAAAAATATATATTGTGGCATTTATATTAAGATTTAAATGTATGAAAGCAGTAACACAAGGAATGGGAGAGAAAATGGAAGTATATCATTGTACGCTACTTATATGTGAGAATAATATTTGAAGGTAGTCTGTAATAAATTAAAATTGCGTATTGTAAAAGCTATAGCAACTTCTAAAAAATAGTGATATAGTTAATAAGAAACTAAATAAATACTAAACAGACATACTCAACAAATCCAAAAGGAAGCAGAAAAAAGAACGCATGAGACGTATAGAAAACAACTAGCAAAATGTCAGATTTAAACTGAACTATATTAAATATAACTTAAATTTATAATTTAAATATAATCAATTATAATTTATCTGTGCACTCTGAGTAAAAGAGACAGACTGATAGATCAGATAAAAAAAAGTAAAACACAATTCTGTGCTGTCTAAAATGAGCACACTTTCGATGTAAAGATATAGGTATGATAAAGTCAAAGGACAGAAAGAGACACAATTCAAATTGACAGCACACAACCCAAAAATCACAGACCCCATAAGAACAAAAGATAAATTGGGCTTTGTAAAATTAAAGACTTTTGCTCGTCAAGATACTATTCAGAAAATTAAAGAGCAAGTAATAGCTTGGAAGAAAATATTCATAATACATGTATTTGACAAAGGTCTTGTATCAAGAATATTTGAAGAATACTTTTTACAATTCAATAAGAAAACAAACTACTCAATAAAAAATGGGCAAATGATTTGGACACTATAAGAAAGAAGATAGACAAATGGCTAAGAAGTACATGAAGTGATGTTGAACAACTTTAATAATCAGGAAACTGTAAATGGAAGCCACAATATTACTATGGCAGCCAAAATCTACAAGTCACCCAAATATTCATCACCACGTGAATAGATAAATTGTTATATATTTATAGAAGCATAATTCTTCTCAGCAATAAAAAGATATGAACTGCTTCTACATGCATCAAAGTGGAAAACTCTTCAAAATATTTTATTAATCAAAAGAACACTTATGCAAACAGTACATACCATATGATTCCATTTGTTTACAAATAAAGAACTAGCAAAGCTCATCCATGGTGACAGAAATTAGATTAGTGGTTTCCTTGAGGTTGTGGTTGGTGCAATTGACTGCAATTTGACTCGTTAAGATAATGGGAATATTCTGTAGGTAGATTTTAGTAATATGTATATTTGGCAAGGCACACTGAACATTATACCTAAAATGGGTACATTTTATTGTGTTCAAATTATACCACAGTAAAGTTAATTAAAAATAAACAAAGGTAAACAAGGCAAAGGATATTTTCTATAATGCAAGGGGCAAGTTTTAACTATAGATAGTGCGCCAATTTTCAAGTAAGTATTAATCCCCGTATACTAATCCAAGCAAACATATGCATTGAGTATCCATCACTAGAGATGACCCTAATTTAGAACATAGGAATAACTATGGTGAAACCAGTTGTTTGGTTGACTGAGTGTGCAGATATCAATAACTAGGATTGATCTGCTGCTAGCATGAGGCACACTAGCATACAGCCTTCACTTATGTTGATAGTGATTTCAATGATTTCATTCAAACGTTACACAATGCAGCTCATAGGCTGTTAAATTAAATTCCATGCATAGAATCTTGGATGAGTCACTCATTCAAGTATTTAAGCTAACACTTAAGCTGAACTTTCTCTGGTCAAAACTCTTCCAAATATGTACCGCAAGTATAGACTCAGAAATTCACTTACTTACACCAATAAATAAGTTTATTATATTTAGCAAAAGAGGTATTTTAGTTTGTTTAAATGTAACAACACATTTCAAATTTTTATCCTAAAATAAGCTTCAATTATTACTTCAGTAGTAACCCACCTAAATTATTCCCCTTCGTATCTATTCCATCAGTTATCTTAACACAGATTTGATCAGTCCAGTACAATAAACATCACTTTTCCTGTCAAAATGCGTAGACCTGCCTAGCTCAGAGTTGTATAAATACAAACGTGGGACTGGACACCACTACAAATGCCTTTTTGCATCCTTTATCTTTCTTGGACTAATAGAGACATATTTGGGGCATGATAATGTTGAAGCTGTTCATTATCCCTGAACAATTACTGCCACGCTTACTCTCGTTTCTCTCTCTCTTCTTCAGGAAATCACAGGAGTCTAGTCCCTGTATATCTACTTCCTGAAGAAAATTTGCCAGTCCAGCATAATTTTTTAAATCATTTTGTATCCCAATAAAATGAAAAAAAAAAATTAACTGGATATCTATTGTGTTCCTTATTGTGAAAAAGTTTCCCAGAGGAAGAAGGTTAGGACAGTCTGGAGAATAAAAGATAAGAGGAGGAGCTGACAGAATTTAATTGAATAAACTGCATTTTTACTAATGCCATATAGTGGTTCATACGGTCCCAAGTTAGTGACTCGGGAGTTCCTTTAAGACATGTTAGCATAGAAGTCATTCATTTCCTCCCCATAACTCTAGACTTCTGCTAGTTGCTTTCTTATTGTTTTATTCTCATGGTATCTCGGAGAGCAGTCACTGCATGAATCATCTACTGGGCATTCCCCGTCTCGTAGCCACACCACATTCCCAGCATTGAACACCTAGAATAGCTCCAGCTTTTAACGATAAACTGAAGATTATCATTATCCAGGCCAGATAATGGAAGGAAAAGTCTTGTTTTGTCTTAGTGTAGAAAGTATAATATGAAGTTTATCTTCATATAGTGTTTTGTAATGCCCTGGCCCTGTGCCTTGGGGGGAGATACATATATATGTATATTTGTTGTTGTTATTGTTGTTCCCATTCTTAAAACCTATTA